AATTTATGTAGGTCGAACGGAATGATGCAGTCACCATCTTGTGCAAGGACTATTTTGTCTTACTATTTCGGTCAGGTGAATTTGAGCGTCTAAATCGACGTGTGTGTGTGTGTGTGTGCGGCCCAGACAGCATCAGAGAGTCCCCTCCACGACTGGAAACATCCAAACCCATGCTGCTCTAGACGAGAAGGTGAGACTCTATGAATGAGTATGTCGGACGAGAACAGAACAAAGATCACCGATTATGTTAGGGCTGATGCTCCTTAGAAGTAAAACAAATTTCCGTATATCTCGGTTCTNGAGTAAAAATTTATTTCTACACGGCAAAGACCTCAAGGAGCTTCGACGTAGACTGATCATCATTTGCCATATCTCTTTTACATCTTTTACGTCTTAAATCACTTTTCATTCCAAACCATCTCATAAGGCATTTTGTTTTTGCGTGCGCTTTGCCTCACTAGCTTTATGGGTCCCCTGTTATATTCCCCTGTCTTTTGAACAAGGACCTCAAACTCATTTCCCGATCCCCCAAATTTCTGTCAGTTTGTAGTCTCATACCACGGGAACACCTAGTGCAGTATGTGGTTACACATCACTTCAAGTCCTGTAAAACATTCTCCAATAGGATTTTATCTGATATCTCTCATCCTCTTTATTCCGCCCTCAGTCAGTGCTTTTCTCACTCATCCACCCGTTCCGTTCACAAACTTTTAAAGACACGCACTGAAGCTTACAGGCGGTCTATTGTCCCTTATCTCGCCAGATTTCTAACAAACCATGAACTCGTTGCAGGAAATCTGCGCCGAATGTTAAACTGATTTTGATGTTGCTGTCCTTTTTCACGTACTTTAATTGCTGTATCATACTGCAGTTGTTTTTTTTTATTTTTTGTTGACACACTGTGGTTATGTGGTTGCTGAATATCCACCTCTCGGGGTGTATAAAGCCATTCCTTGACTTGAATTTAATTTCGTTGGCAACCCATTTGTGCGAACGTCACTTGAATGCATGTGAAATTTTCCACACAAGATTCCTATAGATCCCAGGCATCCCCAATGAGCACAGATTTCACTCCCTATCGTTTCATGAGTCAAATGGATCCCAATAAAGTTGTGTTTTCCCAGGCATGCACATATAAAGTAACTCCATGATACCCTCTTTGAAACGCAACATGATGAACAAATCACAGGATTTCTTGAATGTTCTTGAAAGTTTCGAGAGTCAACTTTTTCTGTCTACTGTGTACATTTTCATATTGGAGGTAATACGCTTACAGTTTCAGTTTCAGTTTGAACAACCATTAACCATGCACTTTCGTGTGCCGGTTTTGGTTGCTGTCTTTTGGCTGCCCATTTGGATGAAGAATAGGAGAAGAAAGGAAAGTTGAAAGTGGAGTCGAAAAGAAAATGGAAAAGTTCAGTGGTCTAAGGTTGGGAAGAAATTGAGGAGATGCACGAACGCCACTGTTTACGACACCCAGCCATATCGCTCAGTGTCTCTAACCATCGGTTACGATCATCCCGAGGTCCCCAGTCAGGGAGCCTAACAGGCCCTATGTGACCCAGTTTCCTGGTTAAGGTTTTCATAACCTCGTGCCACGTCTTAACTTGACCACCCTTGGCTTTTTTTTCACTCGGTATCTGCTTCGGCGAACATCGCTCGCCGTGGTAACCTACCTGGTGACATGCGTAACACATGTCCCAGCCAACGTAATCTATGGAGGTTGACCGCTTGCTCCAGTGGGCGACCGTATTTACCCAAAACTGTGCCCCTAACCTCAGCATTGTTCATCCGGCTACCCCACCAGATTCGTGCAATGCTGCGTAGACAGCGATGTTCAAACATCGACAGTCTGTCTTTATCTTGTTTTCTTAATGGCTAAGTTTCTGCACCGTATAGCAGAACAGGCCGAACTGTCGCGGCCCTTCACAGACAGCCGGATGTCGCGACGGCGCCACAGATGTCTCAAGTTAGCAAATGCCAACCGAGCCTTCTGTATGCGAGCGGACACTTCATCCGTGAAGCCCAAATAACAAAACTTATCCACCTGCTCTATTACTTCCCCAGTTAGAGTGAAGCTGGGTGCTGGACCATCCCAGTCTTGTAGTAACTTTGAAGGTGCAAAACGCTTACAGAAGTCATAGGGACCATTTAGTCATTCATTTCGTAGACTCAGCATTCCTATATCCCTGATCTGGAAGCGCCCTTCGGCTTAGTCGACCGCATTATACTTTGATTATGTCTCTCCCGCAACGATGCACCACAGAAGTTTATTTTCTTATTACGATCCTCTTATGCTAGTGGCCGAAGCCCATTTTAATCAAACGGCTCGTCCCCCCCCTCCACTGAGTTCACCACAAACGGCAGTTTTCATCAGGTTTCACTTCACTAGCCAAATCTATTCAACCTTGGTTGACTCTGGAAACAGCCGTCATTCATCGTACGGACTTAGACATTACGAGGATAGGGTAAAGATAGACAATCGGTTTTCAAACATCACTGTATACGCCACATTGCATGAGTCTGCTGGAGCAACTGGACAAGCACTGCTGAGGTTCGACATAGGGCTTCATGCAACTGTACACGACGAGTGGAACAAGTGCTCGACTTCTATAGAATGCTTTGGGTGGGTCCTGCTACAATCATGGCACTAAATGGATCGCCTCTGTATGCGATGTTTGTCGAAACAGGAAAGGTTTGGAAGAAAGCGAAAGATGGCCCCGCTAAAATCCGGCATGACAATATGGGAAACCGCGAACTGGGGATTTGGGCATGTAGATCATGTTAGGCTCATCGGGAGAAGAGTAACCGATGGTTCGAGACATCGAGTCTCGCAAACAATGGCTCTCGTGCATCTTCTCA